GCCCGCCGACGGGTGTCGGGGGCAGGTAACGGCGGGAAACGGGGCGGAGATACGGAGGGGACAGCCCGGTTCTGCGGGGTGGCAGGGGAGGGCAGGTTGGGGGGCGCCGGGCGATGCCTGCAGCCAGCCGACTGTATCCGAAACGAGCATCCCTCCCTCGGCTATCCCTTTCTCCGGGAAAATGTCAAACTAGAGACCTGCTGAAGAAGGAGGGGAGCTGCTCGCCTGGAAATACGCTGGACCTGAAGTGGCCTTCTCTTCACCTTTGGCTGAGTTCACAGGAAAGGTCTCTAAGACGCTCAGCAGCCCCGGCTTGCCATTACCGCACCTATACTTCAACCGCTCATTAAAGCTTCACTTCTCTCCCCCCCGCATGGAGGGAAGGGCCCGTTGAACTAATTACTAAAATAACCTTAATGGAACGGACAAGCTCGGGCCCGGGATGCTGAAATAATGATCTGAAGTGATGGCAGGCTCTGCTGTACTTTACTCCGATGAGTACTCCTTTCACCAGGAAGTAGGGAGGAAGCAGGGAGGAAGCAGGGAACAGCTCTTTTCCATAATTTGGGCCTTTTCTAAATAGTTCCCTCTCCCTCTGTTGCCTGTGTTTTAAATCCAGTCTATGGGCGAAAGGACCAAGGAATTCAACACTTCAAAGCTCACACTTTGGGTGAAAACCACGTGGTTTTTCAATATCCATAGGAATGCATGCATATATGGCTCATTTCTTTTTCTTTTTATTACCCAAGACTCTGTTTTAATACTTTCATTTAGGAGCTGTTTTTTTTTTTTTTCAAGTCAGTAGAGATAATATTTCAGGAGATTTAAAATAAAGGACCCGTTTTAACTGCTTTGCACACACAGACACACACAGGGGCAGACTGGAGGTCTGTTTGATAGCAGCCAAATTCTCTTTTAGGCCGGTTTCTGATGTGAGAGATTTCTAGTTTTAAGTTCCTCTATCTTCCATACCGGCTACACAAACAACCGGCTATAATATTTCTTTCTCTCTTTAACTCTAGGACCCGAACTTCTGAGCTGTTTCATAAAGAAGGAACACCGGTTCTTAATTTTACAGCTTCAGAGAACAGGACTGCAGCTACCGAGGTATCAGTCAAATTGATTAAAGAAGATCCTTTACTTGAGGGTATGTGCCCCTGAAATTACCTTGCTCTAAGCCTCTCGGGGCAGCTGGGGGGGAGAGGGAGGGAAGCGAGGGATTACTGTCTTTCCAGGATCCCTGGAGAAATGTGAAGAGGTTGCAGAGGGAAAATGTCCTTTTCATGTGTCCTGTCCCCCTCCCTGACTCCCCTCACCCTCCTCGCACGCCTGTGCACGTCTGTCTGTCTTGAAGCGGATCTGTCTGTCGAAAATGGGCCTGGAACTCCCTCCTGTGTTGGGATTAGGTCTTGGGGGACCTGGGGTGGAGTTACGCTGCTTGCCTATTTTCATATTCATTAGAAATGGGAGGTTGCATAAGGAGCCCTGCTGAGCTTCAAGATATAAAAGCAACTTCGGGTTCCCCCTTTCAAGACAAGACAAATCAAAGGCTCAGAGGCAAAACAGCTCCCTGAGCTCTGAACGACTTTCCCTCCCTCCTTCCTTCCCTCCCATCCACTCTCCCTCCCTCCCCTGCTCACAGTCCAGCCTCTGTCTAGGGAAGAGGCTCTCAAACAGCCTTAGATGATTATGGATTTTCTGAGCGAGAAGTTTGCCCTGAAGAGCCAGCCGAGCAAGAACAGTGACTTTTACATGGGAGCAGGAGGCACTTTGGAGCACGTTATGGAAACTTTGGACAATGAGTCCTTTTATAGCAAAACGTCAGGCAGCAAATGCGTGCAGGCCTTCAACCCTCTGCAAAGGGCTGAGCATCATGTGAGGCTGGAGAGGACGTCGCCCTGCCAGGACAACAACGGTGAGTCGCCGTCCCAGGGTAATTCTGGCTCCCTGCGCTTTGCCTCTTGCCTTGGAGATGTACGGGGGGAGGCCGGGGCTTCTCCTGCCCGGGGACACCAGGGGTGGCTTGCGCAGCCTTTGGATGCTGGCATGCGAGGGGCTGTCAGGTAGTAGTAAATAATAATAGTAATAATAATAATAATAATAATAA